TTTCAGTTTGTGGATTTCATGAAAACGAGTAAGAGAATATTACACATAAAATTAGGTGTTCGTTTTTTGCGTGATTAGCGTTCCAGACTGTGGATCAGAAGGTTCATGGTTCGCGTCCTGATGTGGTGAAATGGCGCTCTGTACTTTTGGGCTGTGGATGCGTTATAAGAGTCACGGTGAAATCTCACTTTCTGATAAGACTATCAGAAGTGTTGGCAGTTGATGCTGTTTAATAGCTGACTTTCTCTATATATAGTTCAAAATTAGGAACGGCTGGTGCTGACAGCCTTCGTTTAAATTTGAGTGAATATTCGAAACATCAAACTTTATTGAATTATGTGATGGCTGTCATTCAAACATCTGTAATTTGTCTACTGATATCTAGATGTGAGAAACTTAGCTAGTAATATGTAAAATAATAATTATTAAATTTCTAGCTTTGGTCGTACGCACACAAAAGTAATACAGAGTCTTCTATAGACAAGCTGAATGTTTTCTGTTTACTTTAACAGGAATAGTAATACAGAGTCTTATATAGACAAGGTGAATGTTTTCTGTTTACATTAACAGGAATAGTAATACAGAGTCTTATATAGACAAGCTGAATGTTTTCTGTTTACATTAACAGGTATAGTAATACAGAGTCTTATATAGACAAGCTGAATGTTTTCTGTTTACATTAACAGGAATAGTAATACAGAGTCTTCTATAGACAATGTGGATGTTTTCTGTTTACATTAACAGGTATAGTAAGAGTCTTCCATAGACAAGCTGAATATTTTCTGTTTACATTAACAGGAATATTTTTTGTAGATACTTTGTGGCACTCCATAATTACAAAATTGAGGACAATAAAGACAGTTGTACGTGCCACAAACATTTCATTTATTTGAATACAGTTGTTTAAACATTTAAACAACTTTATTCAATTATGTACCAGCTGCCCAGTGTCGACTAACAATACGATGAATTAAATTGTGGCGGATTGCTACAAGTTCTTAAAATACCTATAGAATGATAGGTTTGTGAGTGTAAAACTTAAATATACCATTTCATTTATTTGTTTGTTTTAGCTTAGGCTATCTGCTGTATCCGCCATGGGAAATCTAACTCCAGATTTTAGCGTTATATGTCCCACCAGGGATCCTTTATTTATTACTACTATAAAGGTACCCGACGCTCCCTCTACTGGAGAA